GCGACTGTTGACAGCTACCATCTGTATGCTTACCACGAGGAGCCCAGTGCCACCGCGCCCTCACAGTGGAAGAAGATCGGGGAAGTCAAGGCCCTGCCCTTGCCAATGGCTTGCACACTCACTCAGTTTGTGTCGGGCAGCAAGTACTACTTTGCAGTGCGGGCCAAGGACACCTACGGCCGGTTTGGGCCTTTCTGCGACCCTCAGTCCACAGATGTGATCTCCTCCTCCCAGAACACTTAGACCTTGGAGTCTGCAGCTTCTGCTTTTGAAGTTCCACATTTTGGGCTTGTTTTTAATCTTGTGCATGAAATTCAATGTAAAATCCACTTTGTGCAAGATTTCTCAGACAGATGAGTGTATACACTACGTTTGTTTATGACCGGAAGTATAATAAATTCAACCCAGAAAGCAAGTCTTCCCCTGAACAACTCAAGCTTCAGGGTTTTGAAATGTAAATTTATTCCTTGCTTTGGCTTTAAAGGTGGGGAATATATGTGTGTGTGGGTGTGTGTATGCGCGCGCGTGTGTGTTCCTTTCTGTTGTTTTAACTTTTAAATTTCTAGTTTTGTGTTTGTTGAAGTGCAGTCTCCCATTTTCACTTTCAGATTTTCCTCTCTTCCAGTAGGAAGTGACTAGATGAAAGGCTCTGAGGTGTGTAGCTGGTGTGATTCTGCCTTTGGGAAAATCTAGAAGATGAAAGAATCTAAACAAACCCAAAGAAATGAAGAAAAAAAAAAGTATTAAGCTTAAAAAAGATGAGTTTGAACAGAGGAAATATTCTTTCTCTATTTTCTTTGATGTCTTTTGAGTTACTGACCAGGTGAAAAATGTCCAACCCTCAACCCAAGTTTCTAATCTGGCTTCTACGTTTGTGTTTGTGCCTTACGAAGCATAGAAGTACATTTGCCATGTGCCCATTGTTGTCTGTTCCTCTTTCTTCTTCATTGCCACCAGAAGCACCATACCCTGTAAGACCTTTAGAACCAAGATACGCATGTGTGTATTTTCCTCATCTTCTAAGGTATCACTACAGTCAACCTCAAAATTTTGATTTACTATTTTAGGAACATAACGTTTATTTTAGTCCGTTATTTAGCTCTGCATAAAACAGGCTACCCTGTTTAAGAAAATTTTCATTAAGCCTGTTTTAATATCCATGTTGCATTGTTAGAGAATCTGAAGGAAGTTTGGGGTCATCTCATCACTCATGATGTAGTGTCTTCAAAGACAGTAAATGTTAAAATTCATCAAAGACCATGGAAAAGCTCAGTTTCTTCTTTGTTCTCATGAGATCTTTCCTGTTTTAGTCTTTGTCTTGATAATGCCAGGTGCAGGTGATTTTATCAACTTTGGGTAGCATATAGGCAGTCTGCTTCTGGGTTGCTTAGCAACCTGGGAATTCACCGGCCAGGGCCCAGGGTAAAAGACCCTCCTCCTGCCCCTCCCCCCTCCCCTCTCACACTCCCTCTCCTCTCTCTTGCATGCACTCTGCTTCCGTGTCTCTCCCCTTCCCTCCCCTCTGACTTTTTCTCTGGGTTCGAGGGGGGGTACCCACTATACTCCACTAGCTCCTTCTCTCTCTCCACCCTCATGGCCCATTCAGGCCCTAACTCCTCTCCCTTTTCCTTCCGCAAATAAGTCTCTTTATATCCAGATCTGTTTAGTTTGTGGCATCATTTTAAAATATATCCTAACAGTATCTTTTTGGATCATTTTCCATTACAGTTAGATCTAATCAGTTCAGTAGTTCTCATTCCTCTGAAAAGTTAGTGGATTCAGGCTCAGCCTTGCATTGTCAAGGAATGCCCAGCAGCAGGGGTATTGGGCAGATGCCTTAGAGAGCTAAGGTTGAGGGCAAGCATTTAGGGATGAGTGAGGTGTCTATGAAGTGGGAGTCACTGTCAAGCTGTCTTCCTTACAGTATCTTAAGTTCTTAAAATGCATCATTCACTTGCACTGGCATTGAATGTAGGAGCTCCATTTCCTTCACGTGTTTGCCCCTGTCGTGGCTTACATCAGGAATCGCTGAGTTGTGAAGAAATTGTCTTTGGTGACTTTCACTGCTTGGTGTTCTTCTGTCATCTTTGGGGTGAATTTTGGTTGATGAAGCCTGCAGTTGTTAAGGTGTAAAATGCCCCTAACCTTCCACTCTGAGAAAAAGGAGGCCACATGGGAATCGGTTTTCCACAGGCTAAGCTTGGATAGCAGTTGTGTAGCTAAGACTCCTGAGATTCATGATCATGAGAAAGTGTTGCCAACATTATGATAAGAATTTGAAAAGGAAGGGATTATTTTCTAGCTGTGTATGAGCACGTCTCTATACCTGAGTGTGCTTGAGTGGATACAGGGCTCGTATTCTGCTCAACATAATTCCTGTCTACACAGTAGAAAAGCACATATTCAGAATTGTTTTTGCTGGCTGGTCTGCTCATAGCCAATGGAAGTTTTCCTGGATGAATATTTTTATTCACTAATTATTTCACATTCAGTATTTTTTTTCTAATCTGATGAATGCCCAGTGGAATTAATACGTTTCATTTTTTGGCTTTTACTTGGGTGTTTTTGGTAAAAAAAAAAAAAAAAGAAAGAAAAAAAGAAAAAAAAATGTCTCAAATAATGGCTCTAGATGTAGATTTACTGCAGAAAGTAATTACTGAAAACTGTTTATTCCAGATTGGAAAGAAGCTATGAAGAGAGACTATTAATTGTTAAGAGGAAAAAACACTTGTGGATATAGTCTCCTCAGATAACCTGTCATGAGGCTCTGGGCAGCAGCCATGTTGGGTTTCCTGGAATGTGCTAGACTTACATGGGCCACATGTAAGTGCTGGTGGGCATTGGCTTTTTGTCTGGCTGTGTCTGGGGAGGATGGAGGACCTCTGGAAGTAGCTACAGCCAGCCAGATACTTAGTAGCGGTTCACAGTACTTGGCTCACATTCTTATGCACTGGTATCTCTTCTCAAAGTATTACAAAGAAGCCTAGTGTCCCATTTGGGGAATTCAAGTTTGCTACATTTTTAGCCTGACAATACTGGTAAGTATTGCTTTAAGGGGGATCCTGGAAACTTGTGAAGTTTCAGTATGAACTGTCAGATGATTATGTGCTAATTAGTGGTAACAGCGATTGCTGTTGCTCTCTGCTTTGCACTCAGCCAGAGAACTTTTCACCCTGTTTTAAGTGTGAGTAAGCCTCTTTACTGTATGTGCTTGCTAATGGCATACAAAGACAGCACCTTGTGGCAGTTAACTTTACAAGGTGACTATCCCTCTGATTCTCTGGGCTGTGTGATGTAGTGTGACTTAATGGAAGAAGCAGCTTTCTTCCTTGAAAACGTGTTGGGATAGCATTTGCCTCACAGAGAGGTGTCCTCCTCCAGCCCCCACCTATGCCAGAGAAGGGGTACCTTTAAAGATAGGATGGGAAGCAAGCATAGCATCAGGCACTTTTTCAGAGCTCCTCCAGTGTGGATCGGGTTCTTGTTGCTTGCCACTGCTTTAAAAATCCTCTGAGTGATTGCGTTGTGTCCGCTGCATGGTCGGCCTTTCCCTTCCCATGAGGTTCCCAGTACTGTACATGACTTCAATGCTGTGTGCAGTGCCCTCTCACTTTAGATGCTGTGATCTCACACAGGAGGCACTACAAAGAAAGCCAAGTGTTTTCCTTGACTCCTCCTCAGGCCAGCCACGTCAGTATCCTCAGTATGCTTCATTTTCTACTTGCCTCTGACTGGGGGGCCTGTTGGATTCTCACGGAAATACACCTGTACTTGTACTATAGACAAAAACTGTATAATCATGTGGGATTCTGCCTTCCTTGATTATTTTTTGGGCAAATGGCTTTAAAAATGTGTAAGGGGTACACACGTAAAGATAGAGCAAGTATCATGAGGGGCTTGATGTTGTGGGAGACTTACCTAGAAACTCCTATCCCCTTGAGCCAGCTGAAAGGGAGGACCTGAAGACACACTGTGCTCTCATCTTCAAATGACTTCATCATGTTTGAGCTTTTGTTTTTGTGTTTTATATGTAGAGCTAGCTGACTACCTATCATTTAAATATTTAAATGTGCCCCCCTTTTGTTTTTGTAAATAAAGGAACTAAGCAATCAACCGCCATCATGGATCCTAGCTTGAGGATTTTATCAACCATTTCAAATGTAAATGTAAAAATAACCCCCTGGTAGGAAACTTGCATCCTGATTTTTGTTGCAGTTGGAAGTGTAAATAATAAGATGATGTAAGGCGCTCAAAGGTCTATGCTAACTGGGCTGTAGCAAGTTGCCCTCTTTTTCTTAGGTTTTGAAGGCTTTCATTTTCTTTCTTTCCCAAATGTACAGTACAGTGGTGTCTGTGTAAGTGTTAGCTGTAGTGGGCACTTGTCCAGCAAGCCTGAAATTTATACTTTGAAATAAATGACTGGGTTTTTAACATCCGGAGTACTCTGAGTCATTCTGAGAATTCTCAGTCTATGTGTGTGTTTTTTTAAAAACTCCCTCTTTGCTCAGAATCGCCTCTTGCTCACCGTTCATTGTGCCTTATTAAAACAATTCACAATTCCCTGGTATTCAGCCTGCATGTTAGCCCCCCAGCTTTGAAACAGAAGTCGCTCTGCAGAATGGTTGCCTGGTTACATAAAGGGTGTGTGCAACGAAGTTCGTTAATGACTGGAAAGGATCCCAAACTGTCTTCTCTTTGAGATCCCCTGACCCCTAATGGCTTTGCCATTAGCATTGAGCAGCAGAAGAAGGAGAAAGACCATGGGAAATGCCGTTGTCTAAAAGGCTTGCAAATGGCCCCTTTTCTTTCCTCAAGCTCCATTGGTTAGAACTTGGTTATACCATGAACTATGATTGACTTGCAGGCATAAAAGGAGGATAATGGATTCTGGCAAAGAGGGGTTTCTGCTATCCTTTTATGTATTTGTTTCATACATAATGTTTATTCTGCAGTTCTCCACCCTGAAGGAAATGTTTGCCATTGGGAGTAAAACTAGAAAATGGAAGGGAATTTAATATTTTTTTATTAAGATGGGAAAATATAGCTAAAAGAGTGCGTTTGGTATCTTATTCACAGCTTTCTTTTTCCTCCTCCATCCTTCATTTTTTGTCCTATGTCAAAATTGGTCTCATGGTAACAAAATCAAAGTTATAGACTTCAGGCATCCCCTTATGGAGAGTTTTGTTGAACCGACTCCAGCTAAAAACAGGAAGACCGTCTTCTACCGTGGGACCGCTAATGGCATAGGCTGTATACTGAGATGCAAGGAAGATGTCTGCCACCTGGAAAAAGAGAGGACGTTTAAAAAGACCATCTGAAATCTGACCGACTACATCACCTATCCCTCTTCTCCAGAGCACAAGTGTGATTTCCTTTTTTATGCAAAGGAGTATTTTGTCTTCATGTGTGTCTGTGTACTGTATGCACGCACGCAGTGCCAGTGGATGCCTGAAGAGGGCATCGGATACCCCCAGCTGGAGTTACAAGTGGCTGTTAGTCAGCATGTGGGTGCTGAGAATTAAACCTGGGTCCTCTGAAAGAGCAGCCAATTCTCTGAACCACTGAGACATCTGTCCAGCCCATGAGTACATTTATAAATAACTAAGGGCTCTTGGAGTGATGTGTGGATATTGAAGGTTTATTATTCACTACACTCATATGTGTGAGTATAGATATTGAAGGTTTATTATTCACTACACTTTATGGAACAATCTGCCTCCTGTATTAAATACGTGGTTGGAGACACTGAGCTTTATGCTTCAAAACCTCTACCTACCTACCTCCCTGTTAGAAGTAGATTGGAAAGCAGCAGTGTGTCTGTTACCTTGGTGTCATAGCAACCTCCAGGACTTGGGTTGGCTTCATTCAGGTCCTCCCGACAGCAGATGGTGTTGCAGGGGTCACCCTTACTGTAGGGGTCCGTCTTGTAATCTAGGGGGAAGAACAGGGTTTGGCTAAATCTGAGATGTACTTTACAGTAAGGTTTTGGATCTGTCTGCTCCTGGATCACTAAATATGTTTCATAGGCCTCCCCAGCCCAGCCTGCTTCCAGATGCAGACATCTGGGGGTGTAGTAGGGAGTGAGCAGCTGCACATCTCTTGTCCCAGGCCCAGCCTGCCTCGAGACCATACCAAAGGGGAGAAAGGAGAGGGGGAGGATGTGCATCAGCACTTTGCAACCAATGCAAAACAAATTAGGCTGCAGAGTCTCCACCAAAAGAAAGCTGTTATGAGTCTTTAGCTACCTTTTTCCTTGGGAGGTGTGCTGGCAGACTGGGTGATACTAAGGAAAGACGATACCCAGATCATCTCCTGTATTTCACATGTTCTTGACCTGGTTTTGTTTTTTGTTTGTTTTTTTATTTGTTTGGTTGGTTTGGTCAGATAAAAAAAACCTGTAGAGCCAGGTGTGGTTGTATACATCCAAAATTCCAAAACATGGGCTGTATAGACAGGAGGATCAAGAATTGAGTTTTGAGTGTGTAATGTGTGTGTGCACATAAGCATGCCATGGTCAGAGGACAAATCGTGGAGTCAGTTCTCTGAGTGTGTGGATCTAGGGGATCAAATTCTGTATAGCTTTGGCAACAAGTACCTTTTTTCTGCTGAGCCAACCTGCCAGCCTTTCAGAAATTTCTCTGAGATTTTGTAAAGGGGGCAAATGTTCTACTTGTTGAGCAATCTGTGCACAGCACTAATAATGCCCTGAATATTAAATTGAGATAACTTCTTATAATTCCATCTAGGATAGAGATGGTAAACTTATATAGCTGGTTATTCCATGGGTAAGAAAAGGGGTTTTGCAGGATGACTCTTGGGAAATGTATTACGTACTGTTGTATCGCATGATGTGTTTCATGGAAGCCATGCCAGTCACTTTCCCGTGGTCACGCCTGAAGATTTTGGCTCGTGGAGCTAAGTCATAAGAGTAGTCCAAGCCCAGCTTCTTAACCAGCCTTGGGTAGCCACTCCATTCGTAGATCTTCTGATGGAAAGGAATATTGTAGGAAGGCCAGTATCCTGATATGGAATGGAGGAGAAGGGTACAGTTGAACAGAGGGAGACAGGAAGAGAAGGGAACCAAAGAAGAAAGTCATTTAGTGATAATGTATTTGAAAATGACCACACATGTAATTATAACATGAAATCGCACAGGGAGTGAAGCTGTGAATATGAACCTGCCAGCCACAATGGTCCTTCTAAACTTCCAGAGTTGGTATGCCTCTAGATCACTGAAAGGGAAGAACAACATAAGTTGTCTTTGGTTTAGTGTAAACTAGAACCCAGAGAATAGCATTATTCTCCATTGACAATAAAATAAAATAAAATAAAATAAAATAAAATAAAATAAAATAAAAAGTGGGGGGGGGTGATGCAGTGTTCTGGGGAGCCCCCTGAAGTCCATCTGGTGAGTATGATGCCCCTCAGAAGATCACAGATGCTAATCACGCTGATGGAAGACACAGCACTGACATCAGAAAACCCAAGTTCTAGCTGGGTTCATGGATGAATAATTGGGTCTTAGGCACTCAACCTTTTTCCCCCCTTTGTGAGTAGAAGGCAAGGGATGCCTGTGATGAGTGGGCTGGGGTGGGGGTGATCTCTCATGTTCCAGCAGGCTTTTTAACTCTTAGGACTGAAAGCATTTCACAGGACCCACTGTCATCCAAAACCCTGCACCCCAAGTCACTAAGCACTAGACATGTGACACAATTCTAGGAACATCTTAGGTTACACCAACCTAGGACCATCAGCTGCAGGACCCTCAGCTAAAATAAGGGTTTCGTTAAACACAATGGAGACCAGTAGGGAAGTTTCCCAAAAGACAACTGTGAATTGTTCCATCTCTACAGCTTGTGAGAAGTCACACAAGGAAATCTTAACACACCACAGTGACACCTGTTTACCAGTGTTTACTATAGTACTGTTTATAGTAGCTAGCCAATACAACCAGCCCATTGTCCAGCAGCAAAAAAAAAAAAAAAAAAAAAAAAAGGAACATTTATCCTTGGTAGAGTTTATTCAACCACAAAGAGTAAATGTTAGCTGCAGTAAAGAGGGTGCACCTAGAGATGGTCATAATGAAGGGAAGTAAGCCAGGTTCAGACAATATGTTTCCTCCCCGTATTCCTCATCAGTGATGCAACAGGAGAATTGAGACTGTTGGCAAGGGAAGAGGCCGAGCAGGAAAGGTGGAAGGAGGGAGCAACCAAGGAACAGATGAGGTCAAAGTGCAACATTGGGCCTGAATAAAAATGTCCTGTGACGCCTATCACTACGCACAGTAAGTCTATTCCAGTTCAAAAAATTGGGAGCTTCTCTACTTCAGAAATGCATCTCCTACCCCTGTGTTTTCTTGGTCCTTGTATGCCTTTGTTCTTTTTTGCTAATGTGTGGGAATCTCCTAGTCCAGGAGAAAGCTACAGAGACGAAGCAGATGTTTCAACCTTGCTGGGGCACAGAACCAGCACCAGGAAGAATGGAGATGAGGACTACACTGGAGTTAGCAGGTGAAAGCAGACTTGTTGCTAGGACACACTAAGTCACACAGATTCAGAGGCAGCAATGACTGCCCTCAGAGCCTAGCTCCAACACTGGTAGGTATGTGACCTCAGACGGATTATTTCACCTCTCTGTGCCTTAACGTCTTCATCTTTATAGTTTTTGGCATCTGTGATGGCCCGAATGAGAATGTCCCCAGTCGGCTTAGATAGTTGAACACCTGCTTTCCTGTCGGTGGTGCTGTCTGGGAGGTGGTGGGACCGTTATTTGGGAAGTACCTCAGTGGGGGCGGGGCCCCGCTGTCTGTCTGCTCTGTCTGCTTCCCACCTGTGACCCTGTGAGCAAAGATGAGCTCTCAGGCCTGCTGCTGGCCTCCCCACCATTGTGAACTCTCCTTCTGGAGCCATGAGCCAAAATAAACTCTTCTACAAAGTTTTCTTTCATCATGCTGTTTGTCACAGCCACAAAAAGTAACTGATCCAGTAGCATACAAACACTCCATTCTTTCTAAGCATCACTGTAGACACTAAATATGTTCAAACAGCTACAATACTTAGGGTAGTGCCAGTCTTAGTGCTAAATTAATTGCTGATGATATAAGAACAGCTCACTCAAACAGCATCGGGTTTACACTTCTCGGTTTCATAAAGCCTCACAGTTTACAAAAGCATTTACAACAGAAGCTTTTTAAGTCCCAGATCAACCTGGTGTTGTTTAAGCATTACCATCCCCTCTTGTGAGGAAGATACCACTTAGCAAGGTCAGTTGCCTGCCTCCGTCCCAGAGCTGCTTTCAAAGGCTCCACCCTTGGAAAGGAGCTCTTTTTATTTTTCTATTTTTCTTTTATTTAAAGAATGGCTGAGCCACATTTACTTTTATATATTTCTTTTTGTTTTTTTTCGAGACAGGGTTTCTCTGTGTAGCCTTGGCTGTGCTGGAACTCACTCCGTAGACCAGGCTGGCCTCCAACTGACAGAGATCTGTCTGCCTCTGCCTTCTTAGGCTGCATAGTATCTTTATTTGAGAGCATTTCCTGCTTCTTCTTGAGTCCTTTATCCTCACAGTGAAATGGTTCATATGATACTTACCTGGGACTGGCCTGTGAGGAGCAAACAATAGAACATAAGGAAAAGCTCCCCAAGAGTGTCACAGTGGTTCTCAGCCTTCGGGCTGGGACCTCTTGGAGGGTCACATATCAGATATCCTGTATACCAAATAATCACATTACGACTCATATTAGTAGCAAAATTACAGTTACAAATTTTTCATAACTTATGAAGGAGATCATTTCATGGCTGGCGGTCACCACAACATTAGGAACTGTATTAAAACGTGACAGTCAGCAAGGTGGAGAACCCCTGCTCTAGAGCATGCAAGTTGGCAACTGGAGCAAGCCCCTGCCACCCGAGGCTCTCAGGACCACTGTGAAGGTTGGACGGCATTGTTTGCTATGCCAAACAACGACTTCCTTAATAACTTAGCTTTGCAGGTGGATATTCCCACAAGGAGAAAAGGTGGGTCTCTTTGATTGGATGTGACATGGCTGGCAACTGAAACTCGCCTTTAAATTTTTGTTTTGTGTGGGAGAATGGCCCACAAGGCCCCATCAACCTGAGACGATCTGGGGACAGTTAACAGTCAACAGTAGCAAAATTACAGTCATGAAACAGCAATGAAAGAGTTTTATTCTTGGGGAGGGTCACCACAACATGAGGAACTATATTAATGGGTTGCAGCATTAGGAAGGTTAAGAACCACTGGTCTAATAGGTCACAACTAGTAAGTTACCAAACTATTATCATTCATCCTAATTAAACTTGGTGGGTCTCCCCCATGGCCAGAAAAAAAAAAAAAAAAAAAAGCCTCGAAAGAGACTGGTTGGGAAGAGGAAAGGGATTAGAAGGGTGGGGAGCACGGGGTATAGACAGGGCAAGATGATAAAAACACCTACATGGGTAAGAATGACATAATGAAAGCTATCTATTGTTATACACAATGTATACCAATGGAAAATCCTTTAAAAGGAGTCAGTGCAGGAAAGTGGCAAGTATTTTTAAAATTTTGACTTGGGGACCTGTTCTTCAGGCCCTGGCCCGGATTATATCCCACGTCTGCCCTTTATCTTGATTTTCTCTCCACTCAGTGGGGTCTGTTCCATAGAATTGTTTCCTTTCTTCCTGTGTTCAGTTTGTTCCCTGTTTTAAAAATTCGTTTTCTAAAGAACAAAGACTGAACTGCCTAGCAGGATTTATAAGGCAGACATTTCTTCCCCGTCAGCCCCTTGGCCCTTTCTCAGTGGATCTTATGACCCACCCTAGGAAGCCACAGCGCTCCACGTTTGCATTTTCACCAGGGCTTGCTAACCAAATAAGCAAGTTTCAGAGTTTTCCAGGTGTTGGTACGGTAATGAAGTGTGTATGGTGTATGATAATGCCTTCTAATGGGAAATGCCTCATAATGAAAATATTGATCCTTATGTTGTGTGCAGATTTGGGGGCAGCTTTTTTTCTTACCAAATTAGTTCAGTTTGGATCATCTTTTTCTACCAGATAACTTAGTACCAAAACAAATTGGCTTTAGAGTTCTGAGATTTTAAAATAGTAGGTAAATAACTAATGGGTCTACATCACTATTGCCTAGATTTTTTTTTTTTTATTGCCTAGATTTATGCATGAAGAGAGTAAGGATTGGAGAGGTTGAATTGTTTATGTAAGATTTTAAGAAATAGAGATTCAATCTCTGGGCTTCACCTCTCTGGGCTGTACCTTAAATAGCCAAAGCTACCTTCTCTGATCCTTCTCACATTAACGCTAGCCTCTTTTGGTTCTACCGTGCCTGGCACTTCAGACCATTTTCTAGCTCTTCCTATTCTGAGCTTCTGTTCTTTGCTACATGATGCTCCAAAGGTCCTAGAGAGAAGCAATTTGGTATCTTTGCTTTTCCAGCCAGAGTCAGAGTGGCATCCTACAAATATGATGTTAGCTGAACTTAAAACTTAACCCTCAGAATCAAGAAAGAAAGCAATATTAGAGCCGTTAGAGGTCAGAAGTCCGAAGGCTTGATGGCGTTCCGCTCTTCCGTGAACGAATCAAGTAGTCTCTCCTATGTTGTGCTTATCATTGATAATTCTTTACCAGAATAACTACACCAACAGCCCTGCCCCCAGCACTCACGCAGCACATCATAGGCGGTCAGGGTTTGTTTTAACTTTCAATTTGATACGAACGGGAAAGATGTGGGCAGATAATCTCCATGAGGGATCGTTAAGATCAGGAGGACACCTGTCTTAACTGATACGGAAAGACACCTGAAAGTGGATGGTACCTCACCCTGGGTTTGGGCCCTGGACTATAGAAGAGCAGAGAAAGCTTGCTGAAGCGGTCAATGTGTGGGGGTGCGTTTTCTCTTTGCTCTTGACAACAGACATGATATGGTCAGTGTTATGCCCAGTTCTTGAACCCCAAAAGACCAGGAATAAATAGACTCCGCTGTAAATACATGAGGTTTTTAAATTGCATATGCGTTGGAACACGGGATGCAAACCTCCTTTGAAACAGGAGAGAAATGTGGCCCCGAGGTCTAGGGGTACAGAGTTTTTAAAGGGAAAAACGCAAGCAGGAACTTACATGCTTTGGCATTACATGATTGGGTAAGGGAAATTGACTTTTGAAATGATTGGTCCACTTTAGGCACCAAGACTACAAACAGTTCTGGCCTGGTCATATGGGTCAGACTGTATAATTAGTGGGCAGGAAAGAACACAGTGAGGCTAGTTCTTCCCCTCAGGGCATTAAGGCTGGACATATCTCCATTTGGTTGGCCGTGGTGCAGGCTTGTGCTATAACCTTTAAAATAATAGCCGCTGATTTTTAATCCTTTGGTATCTCAGTCAGCTGCCTCAAGTTCCTACCCTGCCTCTTCCACTGAGATAGACTATGATATAACATAGTCTATGGGAAATGTCAGTTTCCCATCCCTAAGTGGCTCTTTCTCAGGGTATCGAAACAATGGAAATGAAAGCAGGACATACACACAGGCACACGTTCCTGACAGAGTAAGAAGGAGGTACCTTTTCTTAGGACATTGGTTTGTTCAGAGTACTCTACGTATGTAGGAATCTGCTCCACAATATACAGAGTACCGTCACCAAGGCTCTTCTTGATAGTCACCTTCTTTAAGTCCAGGACCATGTACTGGTTGTTGTAGGTACCTGAAATGTGGGGAGACAGATAGGCCTCAGCTGGCTAACTGCCTGAGAACCTCAGCTGATTAACAACTGTAAGGCTAAACAGAGGCGCACGCCTCAGGATTCTTGCACAGAACCACTTACCAGAGTTGTACTTGGAAAATATCTCTGCCCAGTCCTTACCACCCTGTGCCATCATGTTGGCCACGCGGACTCTTTGCCAGGCCAGGAGGGTCTCGGGTACCACCAGCTTCAGCAGGGTCTTATTGTAGACACTGTTGGTGGTCTGGAGCAGTATCAGGCCACTGCTAAGAATGTAGAAGTCATCCAGAGATTCCAAGAACCCTAGAGGAACAGCAAATGCACAGGTTATCACATGCACACCTGGCCCACGCAGTCGCCGTCAGCGCAGGGTTTGTTACATACGCTGTGGGTGTATGTGTACTAGCAGCTATGGCTTTCTCTTCTCTGTACCGCGCCTGTGGGGACGGGGGCTACGGGAGCACACACAAACAACAGCCAGAACTAGATCCCTAACTCAGCAGGACTTTTCGGAATTTATAATTCAGGAAGGCATCAGCAGGGCCCATCAATCGGTGGTTAAGGCTAGAGATATCATCTTTCTTCTTTTTCCAATCTGTTCTTTACAGATTTTATTTGAGTCTGCGTGACTTCGAAACGTGGATGAATCTACATGTATGCATCTGAACATGGCTCTGAAAGGAGACTTTACTGCCCTGGTTGGCGGCGGTTTCTAACTGTTGGCGACGGTGTGGGGTTGTACTGAGGTCTGTGCTGGGATGAGCGTGAACAGGTAGACTGGACACCATTGGTGCCATGCAGGGGCAGAGCACTGTTGGCCTCTGGCAGCGATCTACAACTGAGAACGTTAAATCAATGTCTGAGAGCCCAGAATTAGCCGAGGCTCCTCCGGAAGGAGGCCAGGGGCTGGAACAGGCTTGCTCCTTCTAGTGTGTGCACACATAGCTCAGTCCTGGCTGTAAGAAAGAGCTCTCACCGACAGAGAGTCTGCTGCTGCCCTCACCTCGGACTTCCCAGTGTCTAAAACTGAGGGCAACAGATTTCTATTTGGAAATTATGGAGTCCAAACTTTTCTGTTATGACAGAACAGACCGACATAGGCTCAAAAGTCCACTATTTCATAATGCCCCCCCTTCTTTTTGGCATATCTGACTATTGTTATCTCTATATTTTTTATTATCTAAACTGTTATTCTCTTAATATTTTGGGTTTTTTTTTATTTATATTCAGTTCATCATTGTTGTGTGTATATATACCGTGTGCGGACACTTATACTGTGACACAAGTGGAGATCAAAGAACACCTTTGTGTAGCTGGTTCTTGTTCTGGTTCTTTTTTTTTTTGTTTCATTGTGTTTTTGTCAACTAGACATAAACTTAGACATATCTGGGAAGAAAGAACCTTATTTGGGAAAACGCCTCCATCAGATGTTCTGCAGACAGGCCTGTGGGGCATTTTCTTGATTAACGATTGATATTAGAGAGCCCGGAAAACCATGGCTGGTCCCGTCCCTGGCCTAGTGGTCCTGGTGGTCCTGGTGTGTCTAAGAAAGCAAGCTGAGCAAGCCAGTAGGCCATGCTCTGCTTCAGTTCCTGCCTCCAGGTTCCTGCCTCAAGTCCCTGCTGACTTTCCCTATGAGTCATAGGCTGTGGGCTGAAATAAACCTTTTCCTCCATAGTTTACTTTTAGTCCTCGAGTTTACCACAACAGTAGAAACCTTAGTGGTCCTCTCTTTCGGCCTTGTCATGGGCTCCAGGGATTGAACTTATACTATTAGGATTTCAAAGCAAGCATTTTTACCCACTGGATCATCTTGCTGGCTCTCAGTGTTTGGGGATATTTTAAGTTTATTTTTATTTCATGAGTATGAATGTTTTCCCTGCATGTATATACCTACATAGGTTCATCATTTATGTACAGTGTCTGGGGAGTCTAGAGGGGACATCAGAACCCATGGAACGGGAGTTACAGACGGTTGTGAGCTGCCATGTGGGCTCTGGGAACCAAACCCAGGCCCTCTGCAAGAGCAGCATGTGCTCTTCAGCATGCCTCGTTTTGTTTTGTTTTTTTTTTTAACTAAAAAGTAAAACTATATAATATATCTATGGGGTATACCTGACATTTAAATAAGTGTACACATTGTGAATGGCTAACTCAAATTCTTTAACATATGTGCTAATTAATATTTTTTCTTCACACTAACTTCTTTTTTGCACCTAAACCACTTACCTTTTTGTATACGTCAATATATAAAGAAACAGGAGTTTAATGACTCTCATCCCCTGATTCCGCTCCCAAAACATGAAAAGAAATGCTTTCTTCTTATGTACAAAGAGGGCTCATACATGTCCACACCTGAAACCACACCACCAGAATGCTGAGTGTCATTGTGCAACTTCTAAGAGTCTGGAATGGGCCAGGTAGGATGGAGGCCAGGAGTATAGAGGTTACATCAAGCCAAAGTCTCAGAAGTGTGGCCAGGTGTGGTGGCCTACATTCCCAGTGCTTCAGAGGTAAGAGAAATGGGATCAGGTGTTCAAGGTCATCCTCAGCTACTTAGCAACTTCAAGGCCAACCTGAGCTGCACTGAAACTCTTATCTGCCTCAGTAAGTGAAAACAGAGGGAAGAGGACTGAGAGCAGCCTGTGCCTCAGTTATGCGCATCGCTCATACTAAACCCTGCGGTTGCCAACGGTTGCCGACAGCCCGAGACTGCGTGACTTCCTCCAGCTTGCACGATCTACGCTGAATTTCCAGAGTTTCAGAGACACAATGTTAGTGAAAGGAGAAGTGTCCAGCTGGCTCCATGAGCTTCTCCACGGGCTAGGTTAGCTTACATAAGAGCATTCAGAAGCAAGAGTGAGGTACCTACTCACATTGTATAGGCTTGACAGCACCCTGGAATGCAATTCCAGAGAGTACCCTCTCTGGAGGACACAAGCTGGATATGGGACAAAGGGGACAACTCGTTCATTCCTTGGTTCCTTTTGCTGTGCTCAAACTGTACAACCGTGCAAGGCTGCTATGAGCAAACAAGGAAGCTCCTTCTCTGTGCTCTGACACAGCAGGCTTGCCAGCTCCCTCCTTGCTGTAGTAGCCTCTCTGGACACAAGAGGGCAGGCATTCATACTGAAAGAGTGCATGAGGGCTGTACTGTACAATCCTTGTAGAGTAAGGAAGGCTGAGGAGACTACAAGATAGAAAGATACAGGCTTTCCAGGGCTCTTGAACAGCAAAAACAAAATGATGAATTGGTTCACAAGAACTACTTGGGGATGGGGACTCTGTAGCATAGACCTTAAACACAGCAAGGAAAAGCCTCAAGGAGGGTACACAGTGCTCTAAAGGGAAACATTGGCTGTATCAATCCCATTCTTTCTGCCTTCGCTCACCAGAAGCTGTAGAAGGCAGATTTTCAGCAGTTAAGGAAAGTGAGAAACTCCAGTCTTACAAACGTCTATCCTTGTCTGCTGTAAGATGACATCTCATGGTAACTTTCTTGCTGAGCTTAAGAAGTAAAAGGAATTTTTTTTTTTTTTTTTTTTCAGAAATAGAGTGTACTTTAAGGGCCAGTGAGGTGATTTAGCAGGTTAAGGTACTTGCTACCGAGCCCGATTGATGATCTGAATTCTATCCATGGAACCCACTTGGTGGAAACAGAGAAGACACTCCTGAAAGTTGTCTTCTGACCTCCAAATGCTTGTTATGGCATACACACACACACACACACACACACACACACACACACACACACACACACGATGGCCTGTGTGTATGCATACATACCTAATAAATAAATGTAAAACTGTTAATGCTTACTGTAGGATTTATAAAGACGAATGTCTTAATCCCATTACTCAGGAGGCCCAGGCAGGGGAATGGAGAGGTCAAGACCCAGATAAAAGATAAAGAGTATGGGCTGGAGAGCTGGTTCCCTGGCTGCCTTCTAGTCTAACACTGTGCTCTAAAAACACTAACTGGAAAGCCTGAGCTGGACAAGGAGATGCCTGTGATCCCAGTACTTGGGAGGCTGAGGCAGGGGGATCAGCACAAGTCTGAGGCCAGCAAGGCTAAAGAGAATTCCTCAGCAGGTTGAGATCCTGTCTCAAAAAAGGAAAAAAATCAACTTTCTGACAGTCATTTTCCATTCTGATAAATACTAATCTCATACATTGGCAATTTATAAGTTGAAAATATCACAGTTATATTTGGAATGTTTGATGGGAAAAGGCGGAATCTCAGAGCTCAGGCCCGTCAGTTTCTGGCGGCCACGGAGGATGGAGGATTTGGGAAATGAATCCCTGTAGACAAAGGAACTGACGGCTGTGCAGTTCAGACCTCACCCACGGTTCACTCTGTACACACAAACCAGGCGTGCTGTGTTTCACGCAGCACACACAGTTCTTTCTGTACTCTTGGCCGTGTGACTTCCCACCATCTCCCATCTTCACACTGGGCTGGATTTAGAATTTCTCTAGCTGGGTGGCACACACCTTAAATCCTAGCACTTGGAAGGGAGAGGCAGGCAGATATCTGTGAGTTCAAGGCCAGCCTGGTCTACAAAGAGAGTCCAGGACAGTCAAGGCTACAGAGAAACCCTGTCTTGAAAAACCAAAAAAGAAAAAAAAAAAAGGAAGAATGTGTTCTAAGCAGAGAACTCAGGAGACGCCCACTCACTCCCGCCTATTCTTGTGGCCTTGACCTGCTGGAAAAGCAGCCGGAGCCAGCTTGTTCTCTAAGAAGGAACACCCACCCTGTAAATGGTCCAGGTCATTTCAGCTGATTCAGAACATTCAACATCAGAGGTCTGAAGAGCTGGCTCTGCAGCCCACAGGCAAGCCTAGGGGATTATCGGCTACTCTGAGATACACAGAGAGACCCTCCTCATCACCTCACCAACCTAGAAGTACAATATTGATCATAGACTGCCTCTAGTCCTGAAGTTTCAGTTCCTTGTTTTGTAGCCAGCCATAGCTAACTGATGTGGTGACAATAATTCAGTTACACAATACATTAACTTGAACTGGCTTGCTTTGATTTGGTTATTGTTGTTAGGTTGTTTTTTGCTTAGGGTGTGTGTGTGTGTGTGTGTATGTACATGTCTGTGTGTGTATGCCTGTGATATGTGTATAAATGTGTGTGCATGTGTGTGTGTGTTCATTCTTGTGGGTCTCATGCATGTTGTTTTTGTGTTTTTGAGACGGGTCTTACTGCATAGTTTGGAATTTGCCACCTATACCAGGCTGTCCTCAAACTCACAGAGATCCACTTGCTTCCCCTGCTCCCCAGTATAGGGCTGAAGA